TTGTGATGATGGTGGTGGTGATAGTGATGGCAATATTGATGATGATGTTGACGATGCTGATGATCGTGAAGTTGATGATGATGATGATGGTAATGATGTAGATGTTGATGATGGTGACGATGACGATGACGATGACACGGATGATGATGTTATTGATGATGATGATATAGATGAAGATGAGGATGATGATGGTGATGATGATGATGATGATGACGATGATGATGATGATGATGCTGATGGCGGAGCAGATTCTGAGGATGTCTCGAGCGAGGCGCGGGTTTCAGCACCCCCGAAGGGGAGCCGCCAGGGGATATGTCATTCCCCCATTGGCGCCAAAATGACGGGGATGTTTCAAGCGGTTAGCCTGGTTGTGCCCTCAGCATCCTCCGCTGTCGGAGCAGATGTTGAGGATGTCTCGAGCGAGGCGCCCCCAAGGGGGAGCCGCCAGGGGGTATCTCACTCCTCCGTTCGCGCCAATATGGCTGGGATGTCTCGAGCGGTTTGCAAGGATGTCTCGAGCGAGGCGCTGGCCCAGATTGCGAGGATGTTTCGATTGCTTGTTTTGCTGGCCAGACTCGTGGGCGTGGATCCTCAGGATGCCACAGGAAGCTCCAGGAGGCCACATGAGGTCCCAGGAGGCACCATGAGGCCCCAGGAGGCCACAAGAAACTCCAGGAGGCCCCAGGAGGCTCTAGAAGGCCCCAGGAAGCAGTAGAAGGCCCGAGGAGGCCACACGAGGCCACAGGAAACGCCATGATGCACCAGGAGACCCTGGAAGGCCCAAGGAACTGAGGCCCCAGGAGAAGAAAGCTTCAGAAAGCCACAGGAGTGGCTCCAATCCCTGGCGTTTCACATATGTCTCCATAGATTGGGCCTCCCTTGGAGTGCGAATCCTGTGTGATTATGCATGTTTCTATTAAGTATCCTCCTCCTGCGTATCCACTCCTCAGTGTTTTACACAAGTTCCCATAGATTGGGCCTCCCCTGGGGCACGAGTCATTTGTGTTTTACGCGTGTTCCTATAGATTGCCCCTCTCCTGTGGCTTCAATCCGAAGTGATATACGTCTGTTCCTATAGATGGTCCAGGGCTTGCCCCCCCCCAATGCTGATGCCATTGGGCCCCCCCCCGCGCGATGGTCCCCCCCGCCCCCCCCTGTGGGCGTGGCGTGGTGCTGCGCTGCGGTTCCCCCCCCCCCCTGTGGATGTGGTGTGGTGCTGTGGTGGTTCAGAGGTGGGCGTGGCGTGGTGCTGCGCTGCCGTGCCCCCCTCCCCCCCCCTGTGGATGTGGTGTGGTGCTGTGGTGGTTCAGAGGTCGTCGTCGTCGTCGTTTTCGTCGTCGTCGTCCTCGTCGTCCTCGTCGTCCTCGTCGTCCTCGTCGTCCTCGTCGTCCTCGTCGTCGTCGTCGTCATCGTCGTCGCCGTCGTCATCGTCGTCATCGTCGTCGTCGCCGCCGCCGCCGCCGGCGTCGCCGCCGTCGTCGTCGTCGTCGTGGTCGTCGTCGTCGTCGTCGCCGTCGTCGTAGTCGTCGCCGTCGTCGTCGTCGTCGTCTCTGGGACCATACCATCTGGGGGGGGGGGAGGGCCGAGGAATCCTGGGACCATACCATCTGGGGGTGGGGGGGGGCCGTGGGCCCGCAGCCCGGGACCATAGATTTGACCCCTCCTGGGGCACGAATCCTCCCCAGGAGGCCCCATGAGGATCCATGAGGCCCCAGGAGGCCACGCGAGGCCCCAGGAGTCCTCAGGAGGCCACAGGAAGCCCCAAGAGGCCACAAGAGAGATAAAACGGCGCCAGGAGACCCCAGGAAGTCCCAGGAGGTTTCAAGAGGCCTCAGGAGGCCCCAGGCTCAAGCGCAGAGACACACTAATACTACTGAGACTCATTCACACTCCATTTCATTCACAGTCAGATTCACTCCCAGACCGTCAATACTCAAGCACGCTTCTAATCGAAAGCTCTTGGGCCTAGACACTCACGGCGGACAGGTCCATGCTAATAGATGCACATATGGGGAGCTCCGGGCAGTATTATCAGCATTATCAGCAGCATCATCATCAGCATCATCACCATCAATTCCATCACCCTCCTCCAGGGTCTGCCTTTTGGACCGTTTAGCAGGCTGTTGCGATCTTGTTTTTTCAGGGGCGTGTTTTAATTGCCCGCTGGGGGGAAGAAGGAGGAGGAAGACGAGGAGGAGGAAACCCGCGCCTCGCTCGAGACATCCTCAGAATCTGCGCCGCCATCCTCATCATCATCATCATCATCATCATCACCACCACAATCATCATCATCGTCATCAGCAGCACCATCACCATCCACCTCCGCCTCCGCCTCCTGGCATGCACGCCGCGAGCGACGGCCGGGCCCTCGGGGAGAACCCGCGCGTGAGTTGGGATTTGGTAAGAGGCGAGCATCAACCCGGGCACATACACATAGCAGCCACCACAACAGCCCGAACCCCAAGGGCGCCCTCGAGGGCGCGAAGTGATTCGCGCTTCGCGGTCCTCGTTCCTTCTCCCCCTCCTCCTCGTCTTCCTCTTCTCCCTTTGGGGGGGCGGCGCGAGAGCGCGAAGTTTTTCGCGCTTCGCGGAGCGCGAAGTGCGAAGTTGGGAGCCCTTGGAACCCCGAGACACAGACTCAGTCTTATGATCGCCGCAACCGAACTGCACACTATATGATGTGTGCGCTGCATCTGTGCACAGGGGCCACAAGCTAATCGTACTCGACGCGCGGGCAGAGATCAGACAGAAGCTCGCATGGTTGTGGGGCAGGGAGGGGGAGGGGAAGCAGAATCCGGCCTGCGCACACCCACGCGCCGCACCACGCCCACAGAGAAACGCACATTCGAGAGACAGCCCCAGCTGCAAGGGCGTGGGGGCGGCTCTGACCTGCCCCACGAGGAGACAGGCCTGCTCGGCGGAACTATAGTCGGGGGCGGCAAAGAGGAGGGTGATGACTAGGGGGGGGGGGATATCACGGCGGGGGCCATGATATTTCCCCAGATCTCATGGCGCCTTTTCTCATTTCATTACGTCCCTGGTCCCCCCGATGGGCCGCGCACATGCCGCCGGTCATGATTTGCACCCCCCTCTCTTGGACACCCCCCCCTTGGCCGCTCCCGACCCACGAGGAGACCGGCCTGCTCGGCGGAACTATAGAACCGCCAGCCGCCCCCGCGGACGACCTTCCGAAGATTGCCGCCGGCTCGATCAAGACAGCCACCCGGAGACATCCGACCAAGTGGAGCACATCTATCAAGAGAGGGAAGGCAAAATGGCAAAACAAGGTTTCCCCCAACGATGAATGTGTTTACAAAAAAATCATTGGTTCTCCCTCCACGAACTCACCCATCACGTGCGGCATCACTCTGCAACGCCGCCTGAGTACCCGAGACCGAAACAAACGGGCGCCAAGAAGGTGGCCGCACCAGCGGTGGCACAAGGCGCCTGTTTGGTGCATTTAGACAAACCGACCCCTCTGGTGCCACCCGAGCACACGACAATGAGGCCCAGAAACGACTTAAGGCGTCGCCGGGTGAATCACAAACATAGTACGACGCCTGCTTCTGCAAGATCCCATCAAGAAGCACGAATCCGTGTAGACACACGCACCCCGAATTTTACCCGTGGGAAGCCTAGGGCCTTCTATGGAAACACTCGCACACGCCACATGCGGCTCAAAAACCGACGCGCGTTGGCCAAACGAGTCGCCGGTCTGCACCCCAGGATCCGCCGCTGGCACCGAGGCCCCAGCTGGTGCCTAAGCCCCCACGGAGGAAAGAGCCGAAGCCCCAACCGCCCCCAAGCAAGTCTTATGGCACGGAGGATGGCCGACCAGAGCACAATCAAGAGGACACAGACAGAGCAGCAACGATCATACCCTTCCAAGTCAGCACAGAAAGGGGCACCACGAATGGGGTATGGGTTAGCCGCGTCCATTGTCCTCATCTCCTCAAGCTAAGTAAACACACTTCCGAGAGACACAAAACCCAGGCGGGGGAGTGAACCGCGGCGACAACGGTGAACCCCAGGGAAGGAAGAGGAACGGAGGGGGAAGGAGAGGACGGAGAGGAGGAAAGGGGAGCGAGGGAGAGGAGAAGGGCACAGTCCCACCACAGCCTACCCCCACACTGGGGAGGCTCAAGCTGGGGATGAGGAAGACGCGTTTCCGACGAGCGGCCACGAGGAGGCTTGTGCACCTTGCTCGTCAGGGCTGGACCTGAACGGTGTTTTTGGTGATTTCGTGGGCCGCTTTCATTTCGATTTCGTTTTGCGGTAAAAGAGGAGTCGAGACAAAAGCGAGGGAAAACGAGAACAAAACGAACACGGAGAACACCGTAGGTTCAGCCTTGTTGCTCGTCATAATCACTGCCGCCACTTAGTTTTCGTAGTTGCCCATCGTCGCCACCACAGAAGACGCGTCGGCGTGCCCACTTTCCGCGCTGCCCCATCGACGCCGCTGCAGGGGTGGCGCCTGGGGCGTGGACGGCGGTTCTCCGCTGGGACACTGCAGCGAGCAATCCCAGGAGAGGGCAAGTCTCCCGCTCCTCTCGGGCCGAACGAAAGGGGGGGATTGGGAAAGGGGGGGTTACGAAATTTGCTGCATGCAGCTGGTTTCGGCCCCGCCGAGGGGCCCATTCCTAGACACATGGCTGCCTCCGGCGCCGGGAGGCGCCGGGAAAATCAGCTACGTGAGCTGATTCTCAACCCCCCCCTTTCGCCCGACCCGATTCTCCGTCGGAAGGAGGATGGTGGACGAGGGCAAGAAAGTTGAAGTGGCAGTGTAGGGGGGTACAGGAGAGAGAGAGAGAGAGAGAGAGAACAAAAAAAAAAAAAAAGAGAGAGAGGTTCAGAGGAGGCAGGCAGACAGTGGGGGGGAGGAGGGCTGAACGGGAGGAGGGCAGACGACTCAGAGGGTGGGAGAGGAGGGGAGAGGATGGAGAGGAAAGTGGTGGAGAGGGGACTTGGATCAGAGAAATGCGACGCCCAGCCCGCGCCAGGCAAATGATCTGTTCTACACCGGATTTAATAGCTGTGCCCCTAACGCAG